TTGAATAGTAGCTGGCTTCTATAAAGATTGTTGATCAATGCTAATCTCCTTATCAAACAGTTGCTTGCCCACACCCTTTCCTTGTTCTCTGCCAAAAACATTTTCTCATTCCTTTTAATGTGAATAGGCTGAGAATTTTCCAAATATTTAAGTTCTGCTTCCCTTTTGATTAAAATTTTTGTCTTTATTTATTTTATTTTATTTTATTTTAATGAGATACAGTCTCACTTTGTTGCCCAGGCTAGAGCGAGTGCCATGGCATCAGCCTAGTTCACAGCAACCTCAAACAATTGGGCTCAAGCAATCCTGCTGCCTCAGCCTCCCAAGTAGCTGGGACTACAGGCATGCACCACCATGCCCGGCTAACTTTTTCTATATATATTAGTTGGCCAATTAATTCTTTTATTTATAGTAGAGACGGTCTCGCTCTTGCTCAGGCTGGTTTCGAACTCCTGACCTGAGCAATCGCCCGCCTCGGCCTCCCAGAGTGCTAGGATTACAGACGTGAGCCACCGCACCCAGCCTTGATTAAAATTGTCTTTAAATCATTTCTTTCTTCTTGTATTTCACTACAAGCATTCAAGATGAGTAAAGCAATACTTTTAACACATCTCTGGAAAAATTCTTCAGCCAAATATCTAATATCGTCACTCACAATTTCTGTGTTCCACAAAACACTAGGACATAAACATAACTTAGCCAAATTCTTTACCACTTTTTAACAAGGATTTTCTTTCCTCCATTGTCCAATAGCATGTTTCTTATTTCTGTCTGAGACCTCATCAAAATGGTCTTTACCCTTCTTATTTCTTCCAGCATTCTGTTCACGACCTCTTAGGTAATCTCTAAGAAGGTTGAAACTTTCTCTGCAGCTTTTTTCTTCTGAGCCTTCACCAGAATCACCATCTCATACAGGAAAGTAGGCCCCCAAACTGGAGTCCAGCCTGAAGGCCTTGTAGGTTTTTGGCTTTGCACAGGAAAAAATTTTAAAGTGAGCCAACAGAGTAAGGCAGAAGTAAGTTTATTGAAGTAAGAAAAGAATAAAAAGGAGACTGCTCTATGGACGGAGCAGCAGCTCTCCCTGAGTGCAACAGAGATTACCACTTTGTGAGTTTCTGGGGTCTTATACCTTCTATTTAATTTTATGTTAAGTGGAGGGAGGATTATTTATAAAATTTCTTGAAAAGGGGTGGGGAGTTCCTAGAACCAAGGGTTCCTCCCTTTTTTAAGCCATATAAAATAACTTCCAGGAGTTGCCATGACATTTGTAAACTGTCATGGCACTAGTGGGAGTTTCTTTTAGTATGCTAATGCAATATAAGCAGGATATAATGAGCAGTGAGAGTATCTTGAAGTTTTTTGTGGCCATCTTGGTTCTAACTCATTTTGGCTGGCTTCTCCACTGCCACCTGTTTTATCAGAGACTTTGGTTTGGGTCTTATGATTCTTTATGGAGCAGGGCCTGCCATTTCCCTATCTCGCATCCATGGTAATATTGGCTTTTTCTAGCATGCATCTCATAATTCTTCCAGCCCCCATCCACTTCAATGTTGTTGCAGCACCACCTCTCATCCACTTCTCAGTACCAATTTTCTGTATGAGTCTATTGAGGCTGCTGTAACAAAATACTATAAATTGAGTTTCTTTTTTTTTTTTTGAGACAGAGTCTCACTCTGTTGCCCCGGCTAGAGTGCCATGGTGTCAGCCTAGTTCACAGCAGCCTCAAACTCCTGGACTCAAGCGATCATACTTCCTCAGCCTTTCTAGTAGCTGGGACTACAGGCATGCGCCACCACACCCGGCTAGTTATTTATATATATATTTTTAGTTGTCCAGCTAATTTCTTTCCATTGTTTTAGTAGAGATGGCGTCTCGCTCTTGCTCAGGCTGGTCTCGAACTACTTAGCTCAAACAATCCACCCACCTTG